AGAGCAAAGGCAGCATCCTGGGGCCTTCCGGAAGCTTCTGGGCCCAGGCCAGTGCAGCCAGGCTGCGCGAGCAGGCCAGCTCTTTCCATAAAGGAAAGAGCTCTCCCCTGGCAGCCTCATTCAGGCACTCGCATGCTGGCGGCAGTGCTGCTGGAGCGATTGCTCGTGGGCTGCTGCTGGCGCTGAGAGGCGAGGTGCATCACGTGCGGTCGTGCAGGGAAGCAGGGCGCTGCTGAGGGCAGCGCCATAGCCCAGCCACCATAGCTGGTGGGCTTGGACTACAGTGAGGCGCATGTGTGGTCTTCCGGTGTAAGGGAGGAAGACATGGATGTAAAGTCAGGGAAGGGCGAAGGATGATGGTGATAATGATGTGAGGGCACTTACCTTGTATTGGCGATGGTCAGCATTTGGGCGACATCTTCAAGTACTTCGGGTTGCCGCTGATGTCAACAGTTGCATTGTCTATTAGTAGGCCAATCGTAGCTGTGTAGGAGTAGGCTGGGCGCTGAGCGCCAAGTAGGAGTGTGAAGGGACTGGACTCTTGTGTTGTTGGCGGAGAGAGAAAGCTCTCCTTGACATTGGTTTTCAGTACTACGAACCTCCATTGGTGTATTATTGGTGCAATGCTGCTCTCTGGACACAGTGTGACTATCTGGCTTTCAATGTGATGGTGTAATCTGGATTTGTCATCTCGCTGTTGCTAATTTTCCTTGCACCAACGAGCGTAGCTCACTTATTGCACCCACAAACTGTTGGAATACAGACTCAAGTTCGAATCCAGATACAATCAGATTCCCAGAATAACATAATTTAGAATTACCTGGTGCCGATGAGTTTCAATGATGATATCCCAAGGTCGTCGCCCTTTTCAAAAAAAAAAAGATGTGACGACCCGTCCAAACATGGACTGAAACACACAGCTGATTTCTGAGTTTTGCCCATAGACTGAATGACTTGCCGAGTTTCCCGCCTACTACTAAGTCTGTGTGTGCACGTTAGCTGGGCTGCATGTCTGTCTGAGTGCTGGTTGGCTTGAGTATGTGTGTGGTCGTGCCTGTCTGAGTGCTGGTTGGCTTGAGTGTGTGTATGGCCGTGCCTGTCCGAGTGCTGGTTGGCTTGAGTATGTGTGTGGCCCGCAAGGGCACTTGCTTGTTCATTGGGCCCTCAGGGCCGGTACTTACCTGTGCCCGTGACATTGAGGGATTGCAGCAGGAAAAAACACTCAAGTAGCGGGTAGGCCGGTACTGCACCCTGAAGGGTTAGATGCGCGGGTACTGGAGGCCGAGCAGAAGAAGACAAAAGTGCCATTTTTAGAGGCCCGGTAGTTGTAGGTTATGTCTAGGTGGATACCAGTCCAACCAGTCTGGGTCTAGGGCCTGTACGGGCAATATCAGAGTCTGCAATGATGTTTCCCTCCGAAAGGGAGGAGGTACCGGTTGCTTGGAGGGCCGAGCGGCCTGGAAGTTACCGCCCGAAGAGGCAAGCAGGCCGCTATATCTCCCAGCCCGGCGAAGAGCCTGGCCTCTTTTTCGGTGTGCAAGTTTGGCGACACACTGGTGGAGCGCTGGCTGGAGTAGCGCTATGCTGGAGCAGCGCTATCCTGGAGCAGCGCTGCTGGGAGAAAGGAGAAGGACATGAGGGAGGAAGAAGGAAGGGGGAGGAGCGCCAGGGGTACTTACCTGGCTATGGTGGCAGCCATCTTCATCAACTTGGTGGGCGCTGCAGCAGGGAGTCCCCAACTGGGGAGAGCTACACCAAGAAGCTTCGAGGCAGGGTCAGGCATGGCGGCCTGAGCTAGAGCAGCCATAGCTGCTTTGGGTTTTCCTTTGGGCATCTGGGCCAGGCCTAGTAGTCCGCCATAGCCTCGGCCTATGAGAGTGAAGAGTGGGAGAGGCGGCCATGGCTATGGTGGACCTCAAGTGATACCGGCAGTAGAAGAGGAACTCAGACATTGATTCTGGATCAGCCATGGTGTACATCATCTTCTTCTACTTTCTTACTCCTCCTAATCCTCTCTCTCCTCTCAAGTTCATTCCTTTCTTTCTGCAATTGGACGGCATTGTACTTTCTGATGGATGTGTATCTCGAAATTGGCCAGGATCATAACAAAGTGAAAAAAAGAGCACACCTGTTAGGCAACTATCCCAGCTGTTAAAAAGGCACAACAGGTGGATTGTGTCAAGAGAGTGAAAAGAACAGGCAGACAACAGCAAACCTTTAAAAAAAAACAAAAAAAAGGCGAAGGCCTTGAGAGATATCATCATGCAGCTGACCGGCCCTGCGTAATTCAGAAATCATTTGGCTAGTTCATCAGGATTCAAACTCAGTCTGAATTTCAACAGCTCATGGGTGTACCAACTGAGCTAGGCCCGTTGGTGCAGTGAACAATAAACCTAACCTAGTGTACATCAGGAGATACCCTCAGATTTTCAGACTCTTAAGCCACCACTAACTTTGCCATACATTGGCCGCAGGCCCCTCACCACGAGTTTCGGAGGCAACAAAGGCCGCCAATGGAACTCATCAACAGCAGCCCAACAACGGCCCGACCCCTGAAGAATGCGGTGTAGGTAACATTCCCACTCGGGACTACAGCCTGAAAGGCAGTGGTGGTTTCCAAAAAAAAAAACAAAAAAAAACTGCAAGCTTGAGCATGTGCCTAGACTAAGGCACTTTGACAGGCTTTCAGCCACAAGTTCTTCCGGGAGTTTGGAGATCTAAATTTTGTCGCAATTAGGGGTAGGGCTATAAGCATGTGCCAAGATTAAGGCCTTTTTTGTAGGTTTCTGACGTTTTTCAGCTAAAAGTTGTTACTGTGAGTCCGGATATCTGGCAATCATTGTCTCAGTCACGGGTAGGGATGTTACCCTCAAGGCATAAGAATAACGAACACACACCTTATGCGCTGCCGGTCGAACCCTCTGATCCAACCGCCGCTTTCTTGAGCTCATACGATCTCCTCCCGCATTCCGAACGGAATTACTAGGGTCACTGATCCCAGAGGGCATTGCGATCACGGGTGGTGACATGGTGCTCACAGGTCCCAAGCCCCCATCGTCCCCTTCATCCTCTTCAGCATGAAAAAGAGCCTCCTGAAGTATATTTGCATCTGCGAGAACATCCCTGCAGATACATTTACAGGCCACCATCAACAATAGTTAGAAATGCTCTCAAGATGAAATGACTTGACAGCTCTTCGAAGGCAGGACAGAGGCGGCCAAGAAGCTGAATATGGTTGAGAAAGGCGAGAGTAAGGGTTCCCTTCGCCGGTTGAACAAAATGTTTTGGACAGTATGAAAGCAATCACCATGCATCTAAAGAGCGAAGACAATCCTCTCCTACTCTTTTTTCCTTTCCCTCCCACCAGTCTTAATCTTTCCGCCCAGATCGTACTGTTCCAATGAATCATCCTTTGTCTTCTTCTACTCCTATGCCTTCCACCATACCACCACCACTGCTATCCCTAGCATAATCGCCAGTATCATTCCTCTTTCGACCGGCCAGCACCATCACAGTTGTTCTTATTCTTGTCTCCCTCGAACTCTTTCTCACTGCAATGTTCCTCCTCATCCTTCAAGGTCATCGCCACTGATATGCTTGTCCACCTTACCCTCCATTCATGGTTGTTCTTATCCTCGCCTTACCCTCCTTTCACAGTCCGCTCTTATCCTCCCCTTGCCACCTCCTCCCTCTCTTCCCTTGAACAGATCTCATCCTTCTAGGATTTGAACCTACAATATCACCATTATGAGCGGTGCATTTCAACCAATTAAACTATAAGCCCAGGAACTTGCTTCAGAAACAACAAACCTAACTCAAGGGTGGTACCCGTAAGGCCAGGATTTCCCGGCCATTTTTTACGGCTACATAATTTCATTAAAACACGAATAGAGTCAAGAGTTCCACCGCTCGGCTCGAAGAAAGAGTCGAGCCTAGACGGTCGTAACAAGTGCTCTCCAAACCGTGCGAGATAGTCGCCCATCACACGTTGTTGACAATAATCACACGTTGTTGACAATACCTTCTCGTTGTAGTGTATGCCTTTTAGACACAACTGGATGCAAAGTGGGTTAAGCAATTGCTGTCATTAGTCCGGCATCTAGAGGGGTATATCAGAACTATATCTATATCTGGGAGAAGTCCAGCGAGATGCTACCTCTGCACTGGCTACGCCTCATAAAGTCGCAATAAGTTGTCAATCACACAGATTAAAAAAGAGCCAGAGCATATCGAATGTAGAGCAGGAAAGACGAGGACCGTGAATAGGATGGAGCATGCAGGGGAAGCAGCAGCAGGAGAAGGCCGGCGAGGAGGAGGTTGATGTCAAGAGACCAGCAACAAGGGGGGTAGACGAGGAACATGACTTGGGCTGGGAAAACAAGGACTTGGCTGAAGAGTGCGAGGAAGGAGATTCGTCGTATAACTTGTACTTTAGAGGATTCTATTCCAAGCTTTGCTGACTTCTGCGGAAGGCATAAAGCTGCAAAAGGAAATTTGGGTGGGGGACGCAAGAGAGAGAGAGAGAGAGAGAGAGAGAGAGAGAGAGAGAGAGAGAGAGAGAG